TGTAGGGATAGATGGATGGGTGGATGCATGGATGGATATCAGATGGATGGATGGATGGGTGGATGGGTGAATGGGTGGATGGATGAATGTAGGGATGGATGGATGGGTGAATCGGTGGATGGATGGATGTAGGGATGGATGGATGGGCGGAGGATGGATAGGTGGATGGAGGATGGATGGGTGGATGGAAGATGGATGGGTGGATGGATAAGGGATGGATAGATGGATGATTCGATGGGTGGATGGGAAAAATAACTATGTCACCATTTGACTGGATAAACACAGACAAGTCACTTCTCTCTGAACTTCAATCTCTATGTATATAAAATAGAAATAATGTCACAACAATTGGTGGTTGGGACAATTAAACATTACTGTATATTTAAAGCATCCACAGGGTCCTTGATGTATGGAAAGCATGCAGTGAGTGCAGAGGAGTCCCACATCATTCCCTTTCCTCCGTCTTGCCCTCGAGTCTCCTTTCCTCCCCTCGGGAGGGCAGATATCTTCACAGCCAGGGTTGATTTACCCTTTGACAGGCAGGCTGGAGTGGAAGCCAGAGCTGGAGCAGCTGACCCAGGACCACCAGTTACCCCAATAGTTGCGGTTCATTCAAGTGTCATTCTTTAGGTCTGGCTCAGTGCCAGGGCAGAGACGGGCACACGCTCACCTAATGCAACGTGACAAGTGCTCCAGCAGAAGTGTGTGTGGCATCCACATAGTCAGGGCAGGGAGGGGGACACCATAAATCGCTCCTTCCCAGGGAAGCGCAGAAAGGAGGTGACATTTAACTGGAGCATGACAGATGAGGAATTTGCCCAGGTGGGAAGGCAGGGAGGGTGTTCCCGCTAGTGGGAACGTGGTGAGTTGGGGCAGGGCAGCCGGCGCAGAGAACAGGCCCACGGCGCAGCGCAGGGAGCCTGGGGGTGGAATGAACAGCCGGCATCTATGGAGAATTTCCAGCGCCTGGGACCGATTCGAAGTGTTAGGCATGAATTTCACCATGGAATCCTCACACCGATGTGCTACTTTTTCCTCAGTTACAGATGAGAAAACTGCGGTCCAGAGAAACTAAGTGAGCTTCCAAGCTCGTAAAGGATTGACTCAGCATAATTTTTTTTTTAGCATTTTAATGGAGATTTTCAAATGTGCGTAAAAGTAGATAGAATAACACCGTGAAACCACATGATACCATTACATGAGCTTCAACCCATGACCAGTCTTGTTTGAGCTCGACCTCTAGTTCGCCTGACAGATTTGTTCAGGGTCACAGGTCAGCTCTTTTCTCCTGCATTGTGTCCATGATTAGGGGAGACCAGGCACTAAATTGGGTTGACAGGGGCCACAGAGTCGGGGAAGGGACCCAGACTGCCGAAGTCTGAGGTCAGAGAGATTAGCCGGAAGGCTGTGAGTGCAGGAGCGGAACCCAGGAGGGAAGCCTTGTGCGGAGCTGGCTGTGAAGGGTGGGGGCAGCAGCCAGCCCGGCTCTGAGTCCAAGCCTCTACACTGTCAGCCATCAACATGACAGAGGCTCACGGATGGCCTGACCCGTACAGGAGAGGGTGGGAGAGGCAGGAACGGCTGGACAGGTGGGCACCCCCTATCGCGGAAGCCCATGCTCTGAGAACAGAGAGCCACCTGAGTCCTGTAGCATTCCCAGCAACTGGCTGAAGTGGTGTCGTGAGTCTGACTTGTGTTAGTTCACTGTCCTCTCTGCTCGCACATGTAGAAAGGAGACCTCGGTGCTCTCGGGTCCCCCATCAGCCCCCAGGAGCCATGCCCCCAGCCCTCCAGGCTCAGCCTCTTACACTCCCGACAGAAAGCCCCCCTCAGCCAAAGCCAGGTGCCGGAGAAGACACTCCCAGTCTTCTCTGTCACCCAGGACTTGTCAGGGCCCAGGAAGCCACAACCCAAGGACCCTGGGACCCTGGGGTCAGGGTGCATTGGGTAGCTGAGGTGGAACAAAAGAAGGAATGAGGAAAAATATTAACATAGCTGGGGACAGGACCTTGGCCCAGCTGGGGACAGAATCTTGGAAAAGCTGGGGACAGGACCTTGGCACAGCTGGGGACAAAACCTTGGAATAGCTGAAAACAGAATCTTGAGGCAGCTGGGAATAGCATCTTGTGACAGACAGCTAAGGACAGAACTGTGGGCTCCACGGCTGGGAACAAGATCCTCAGGCAGCTGGGGGCAGAAGCTGCGGGGATGGGCGAGTAGAGCCCTGGGTCACCCGGGAGGCAGGAGCTTGGGGCAGAGGGAGGCAAATTGCGAGGTGGCCTCAGGAGGTGGCCGGGGTAGGGGAGACTGGCCCGGGCCGCCCCACGTCACACGCCACCCCCTCTTTCCGGAGCAGACAACACGGCTGCGGTGCACACTCAGCACTTGGGCTTCAACCGGCAGGAGCAGGACGTGTTCTTCCTGCCCATCCTGGTGGTGGACAGCGGGCCGCCCACGCTGAGCAGCACGGGCACGCTCACCATCCGCGTCTGCGGCTGTGACAGCTCCGGCGCCATCCAGTCCTGCAACACCACGGCCTTCGTCATGGCCGCCACCCTCAGCCCCGGCGCCCTCATCGCCCTCCTGGTCTGTGTCCTCATCCTAGTCGGTGAGTCCCCCCCGGAGCCATCCCCCTGCCCCGCTGGCCTTCCCCCTGGGGCCCTGGTAAAGTCCATGGGGCCTCAGCTTCCCTCTTCCATCAGGAAGGTTGGCCCAAATGATGCCCGAGCTTTACGGGGTTGGTCCCAGGACAAGTCTCCTAAGCAGCCCCACTGCCAGCTCAGGGAGCGTCAACCCCACCTGAGACCCCTTGCGTGCTGGCGGCCCTCCACACAGCCCAGACACTCCCTAAGGTTTTAAAAACAAGCATATTATAAGAAAATTCTCTCATGTCCACTGTTCTGTTTTATGCTCTATGGAGGACTTTTAATAAAGTCCTTTTAGTAAAAAAAGGGGTCTTGTGACCCTCACAACCCGTAGCCAGGTGTATCATCCCCATTTTTTAGAGGACCAAAGTGAGGCTCGTGGGGGTGAAGTGGCTTGCCTAAGGGTACATAGTCTTACAGCTTGAAATCAGGCCTCCGCCCCTTGTATTCCCTTTAACTACACCAACTGTTATGATTCTCAGCTGGGGAAAACCCTGGGGGCAGCCGGGGCAAAATCTTAAGACATTTGGGGAGTTAACACCTACTCTGGTAGCTACCCCATCAGAAGCCAGGTCGAACCCACAAAGTGTCACCAGTGAAGAGGTCAAGTTCTAGGAACTGGATTCCAGTGGCCATTGTGCCACCTCCCCCTGTCACACAGAAAGGCCTCACCTCTGGGACGCCTGGGTGGCTCAGTGGGTTAAAGCCTCTGCCTTCAGCTCAGGTCATGATCCCAGGGTCCTGGGATCGAGCCCCACATCGGGCTCTCTGCTCAGCAGGGAGCCTGCTTCCTCCTCTCTCTCTGCCTACTTGTGATCTCTCTCTCTGTCAAATAAATAAATAAAATCTTTAAAAAAAAAAAAAAAAGAAAGGCCTCACCTCAGCTCTGGCTGCTGGACTTTAGCGATCAGTCAGAGCTCGGGGAACCCGAGCATGGTCTAGATTGCAGAGAACAGTTCTGCTCCGTTCCCTGGGCGACGTCAGCTGCCTGCCCCTGGCGTGCTGGCCACTGCCCACCCCACCGAGAACCTGCCAGTGGCTGAGCTGCACCTCCCCGGGTCCCTGTAGAGGCCCTGGGCAGGCTTCTCCTAGCTCCGAGTTCTGGGCCCCCCTTCCCTCCCCTCCCCAGCCCATGGCTCAGAAACTCTTTTTCCAGAGGGTGCACTTTACAGCGGTTTCATTTTCCAAGGCAGTGCAAACAAATTTCTGCCTAATTGCCCACAAACGAAGAAAGTGCACATCAGTGCTCTAAAGGTGACGGGCGGAATCGCTGATCAGGCCGGGCACATCTGTTGCCCGCCGCCCGCACTCCCCACCATCTGCTCTCTCGGGCATCCCCCTCCGCAGCTCCCAGCTTCGGCTCCGGAAGCTGTCCATCCATCTTTCCCACTTCTCTCCTGACACCTCCCCTCCCTCCAGACCTGTTCCCGGGCCCCACCCCCTTCCCTGTCATGTGCCACCTTGTTAGGTCGTGGGCTGGAACCCGGCCCCTTGGCCCTAGCAGCTGGCTCTGGTCGCTGGCCCGGTGGGAGATGTTAGGAGCAACAAGAAGAACCCAGGGCCTGGCATGGTACCCAGCACGTGTCTCTCCATCCACCCCCTCACCTACCCATTTAATTCTTTCAATGGTTCATCAGCGCCTTATTTATCCGTCCAACAAGTTCCCCACAGCCCTCGTACTGAACCATTGCGGGCACTGGGATCCACCCGTGAATAAAAATCCCCACAAAACCCTGAGTAACTGGAAAGTTAGGGTTGCCATCACAGAGATGGGGGAGACAGAGTAGGGAAGGGGGAGGATTATTTCAAGTTTGGACGTGTTCGATGTGGGATTCTCTTGGTCAGCCCGGAGGACTTGCTGAGGAGGAAACCGGACGGATGATCTAGATTTCAGGAGAGAAGTCAGTCCGAGAGGAGGCTGAGACGTGGGCGTGGTCAGCCCCCAAGTGGACTGCCCGATAGCACCCGCAGAGCAGTGTGGATTCAGGGCCCCGGACCGAATCCAAGGATGGTTGATGTTAAGGGGTCAGACAGGCGAGGAAAAGCTGCTTGGAAGGCCGGAGAATGAGGGTTAGCGAGGCGGGAGGAGGAGAGAATGTGGAGTCCCGGAAGTCAAGTACAGAAAGCAAAGAAAGAGCAATGTTCTCTTCTTCATCCTTATACTCACCACGTCTCCATCCACTTCTTCAGTCAGTCATTCACTCAGCAAGAATGCTTCAAAGGCTTAACTGCCTGCCGGGCACCGACCTAGGGGAACACTCCCCGGGCCCCAAGGGGGAGTTTAGAGTGTGTGTTTCGGGGTGGGAGAAGCTGTGGTTCGCAAACCTGAGCTGCCTGGGCATCTCTTGGAGGCTTCTTCAAGACAGACCGCCAGGAGATCTAGGACAGGATCCGAGAAGCCACATTTCTAGCAAGTTCCCAGGAGATGCTGCTGGTGATGGTCCAGCAATTGCGCTCTGAGAACCCGTGGGACAGAGAGAAGAACTCCTCACCAGGGGAACTTGGAGGTGAAGGCACTGAACTTGGCCTGGAGCTCGCGGGGGTGGGGGCTTCTGCAGGGGACATGTTGACCTGAGGCCCAAACAGCTAAGCAGATGCTCAGGACTTCTGGAATAGTCAGAGGAAAGCGAGAATAAAAGAGGAGTCAGGTTCAAGACATCTCTCATTCCCCCAGCCCCATCTGCCCCTAAAAGCTGCCCTCTTTGCACTCCCTGGGGTCTAGAGACCTCTCAGGTTGTATCTCTTCATAGAGTTGAGGATGGAAACATCAGAGGTTGGCTCCAGCCCCCAGCACCCATGAAATCTTTTTTTTTTTTAAGATTTTATTTATTTATTTGACAGACAGAGATCACAAGTAGGCAGAGAGAAAGGAGGAAGCAGTCTCCCCGCTGAGCAGAGAGCCCGATGTGGGCCTCGACCCCAGGACCCTGGAATCATAACCTGAGCTGAAGGCAGAGGCTTTAACCCACTGAGCCACCCAGGCGCCCACCCATGAAATCTCTTAACACTGCCATCTGTGCTGCCGGCGCAGCACGGTGGTCTAGCCTCGATTTGCACACCTCCCAACATGGGAAGCTCACTATCTATCCATAGAGCCAGTGCAGTTCTGACTGTAGGAAACGTCTTTTTGCACAGAAATCTAGGAAATTTGCACCAGCGGTTAGGCTGGGCCGGCATCGCTGTGTGAAGGGTGGGGTGGGGTTGGGGGTCCCCAAAATGTCCTGGGCGGGCCTCGGCCCTCAATCGCCCCGTCTGTCTTCCCCGCAGTGCTGGTACTGCTGATCCTCACCCTCAGACGCCACCACAAGAGCCACCTGAGCTCGGACGAGGACGAGGACATGCGGGACAACGTCATCAAATACAACGACGAGGGCGGCGGCGAGCAGGACACGGAGGCCTACGACATGTCGGCGCTGCGGAGCCTCTACGACTTCGGCGGCGAGCTCAAGGGCGGCGACGGGGTCGGCGGTGGCGGGGGCCCGGGCGGGAGCGGGGGCGCTGGCAGCCCCCCGCAGGCCCGCCTGCCCTCGGAGCGCCACTCGCTCCCGCAGGGGCCACCGAGCCCCGAGCCGGACTTCTCGGTGTTCAGGGACTTCATCAGCCGCAAGGTGGCGCTGGCGGACGGGGACCTGTCGGTGCCGCCCTACGACGCCTTCCAGACCTACGCCTTCGAGGGCGCGGACTCGCCGGCCGCCTCGCTCAGCTCGCTGCACAGTGGCTCGTCGGGCTCCGAGCAGGACTTCGCCTATCTCAGCGGCTGGGGCCCGCGCTTCCGGCCCCTGGCCGCGCTCTACGCCGGCCACCGCGCGGACGACGAGGCCCAGGCCTCCTAGCCCCCCACCGGCCCTGCCGTCGGGGTGTGACTCCCGGCCCACCCACGGCCCGACGGGGCCCCAGGATGAAGCATTTCCCGGGTTCACCCCCTTCCCCAGCCCTCACACCCTCCCAGGGCAGCCAGACAGGAGGGGAGACTCGTCAGGGGATGGACTCCCGGATCCCCCCCCCATGCCCCGCCCAGGGGGGTGGTGCAGCTTTTGCCCAGAAGTGCAGGAATTACCAGCAACATCATTAAAAGTGCAGCGAGACCGGGCACTGCGTGGCTGTCGGGATAGAGGGGGAGTTGGCGCCGCGTTGCTGTGTGAGAAGGGGTGGGTTACTCACTCCTGACTGGGGGAAGAACCCTGAAGGGAGGGTGCTGCTGAGGTGACCCCCCTCCCAGGTCTCCCCTTCAGAGTTAAGAGAGAAGGAAGGCTGTTCACTTACTAGGCGCCTACTGTGTGCTGGGACACTCTAGAGAGACCATCTTAGTTGTCACAGGAACCATGAGGTGGGGCCCAGCAGGTAACAGATGGAGAAGGCCACCCGGAGAAGTGGCTCTGGCCTGTCCAAGGACATCTAGCCAGAACGGTGGAGCCTCTGGCACTGACTTCCCGGCTGCCTGGATTTGGGCAAGTCACCTCACTTCTCTGGGCTTCAGTTCCCTGGTGTGTCTCATGAGGCTCATAACAGAACCTACCTCGAAGAGTTGTGAGGATAAAAAGCCGTCATATGTGTCACGTGGTTAGGACAGTGCCTGGCACATAGTAGGTGTTCAATAAATGTTAGCCTTTGATACTGTTGTTATCTTTGTCATTATTAGAAGCCCACTGGCAGGGCTGCCCCCCTTTTCCCAACATCTCCAACGGAGAAGGAAATGGCCCCAACTCTCTGCTCTGCCCAGAGTAGAGGATAGGGATATTCCCAGTGACTATGGACCCTTCTGGAGTCTCAGGAGGGATGGGAGAGGAGCCCCTAGTGGAGGTGCCAAGAGAGGACAAGCTGGGCAGCTCTGGGACTGGGGTGAGGTGGGAGGGTTGGCAGGAGATGGAGGGGCTGGAAGCCAATAGCCGTGATAGGGATGTTATCTGTTTGGTCCGGGAGCCTATCAGTCTCCCTATCCATGCCCCGCCCCCTCCAGGTTAAGAACTTCAGGACTAAGCTATCTTTAAAAGCCTCCAGCTCTAAAACCCTTTGATGACAAGGTAAAGGATAGCTGTCCTCCCAGCTCAACCCCCACCCCCAAGTGAGTCATTCATTCGGCATTGATCAGCCATGAATTCCAGCTCCTGCTAGCTAGGGAGCCTTCATCAAGGTCCTCAACTGCTGAAGCCTCAGTTTACTCATCTGTATAATGGGGCTAATGATAGTCCTTCCCTTAAAGGGTTGTTAAGAGGCTTAAAGGAGTTAATGCCTATTAAGCTCTGATCCCAGTGCCTTCCTGACGCCTTGAAAATGCTCAATGGATGCTCATTCGCCTTTTCTTCTCTTTTCTTTTTTTAATCTCCCAGGAACCATTCATTGATTTCTCCACATCTGCCAAGGTCCACTGGGACAGATCCAGAGATGGTCATTATGTATTTTGAGTGCCTTCCCTGTATTATTTCATGTAAATTAGATACTGTCAGCCTCACTTCACAGGTGAGGAAACTGAGGCCCAGAAGGTAGTGACTCACCCAAGTTTACACAGGTCATAAGTACTTCCTGCCTTCCAGCAATTCAAGGTCCCAGTGGGCCAGGTGTGGTGGGCAGAAGCAGCCAATAATAATGCCCTTGATAAAACTCATAGCAGAACTAACAGAACAAGGTCCTGAAAACACTGAAGGAAGATTGAATAATTTGTGGAGGGCTTCCCAGAGGAGGTGACTCCAACTGCATCTTGAAGAATACGATGTATGAGATGACCAAGCAGGCACGAGCATTCCAAGCAGAGAGAAAAGCATCTGCAAGTGGGGTGGCGGTCAGGGGGAGGAGAGGCCAGAAGCCTGTGGTGGCTTCAGGGACTGTGTGTGGTCCCAGGGGCTGGATCACTGGGTGGAGTGATGGCGAGATGTGAGGCAGGGAAGGGGGGCTGGAGGCAGGTGGAGAAAGCGCTTAAAGGCCAGGCCAAGAAACTGGATGCTTTGCTGTACTTGAGCATGTCTCTGGACGGCAGGTATATGGGCCGAGCGAGGTAGTCCCAAATAGGGTGACACTGGGACCCTCATTCCATGTGGGATGCTTGGTCCATGTTCCTGTATCGATCTCTTCTACCAGTGGGCATGGTAACCTGGGGACCCCTGGGGACACATGCGATCCCCTCTCTCATCGCATGTGCTCAGCTGTCCCATACAGAATCCCAGCAACATTTCTCAGATTGGTTTTTGCTCTCTCCATTGTAGAGGGGAAGCTGAGATCCAGAGGAGTGAAGTGACTGGCTCAAGGTCACCCAGCTAGTCAAGGACAGAGCTGGGACTACACGGGATCCCTAATTCCAAGTCTCTGTTCTCTCCACGTGTGCCGGTCGCCTTGACAGATTCTGACCCTGCCAAGAAAGAGGTTACGGTCAGGTTATGTGTCCAGAGGGACGTACAAACATGGAGTCACAGGTATCCTTGAGCGCCTTCCAAATCCCACACGTGGGGAATGACCTTCCCACGGTCACACAGAGTTAAAGATCCTGCCAGAAATAAAGAACATCATTCATCCAAATTCACCTTCTGAGCCCCTGGCTCTATTCCATTTACCAGCTGTGTGACTTTGGACATGTTATTGTCCCTCTCTGTGCTTCTGTATTCTCATCCATAAAGTGCACATACTCAGAACACCTGCTCCATAGGGCAGTAGTGAGGATAAAACACAGGGATGACCGCTGATACCTGCTACTTACTGAGCATCTCCCACGCACCAGGCACAGCGCCAAGCATGTCACGTGAACTAACTCACCTAATCCCACAACCACCCAATAAGAAGCCCTCCTTTTATGGGTGATGAACTGAGCACAAAAAGGTTGAGTCCCCTGCCCGAGATCAAATAGCTGGTGAAGACAGGGGCCAGGAGTTCACAGAAGTGCTCTGGCCCTCAGCACTTCCCACATCAGCAGCACACACAGTGCTGGGCACACAGGAAGGACTGGACTCGTGGCCTGGGCTGGTGTGGCCATCTGATGTGGCCCGGGAGAGTCTATTTTCCACTCACTGCCGTGTCCTCCGGCCTGTGGGAGTCCTCAAGCCGTCCCACAATTTCTTCTCATTCTAGAGTGGGGCGTGGAGGGTAAGGCAATGCTCTCTCAGTCCCCTCTGCGTCTGACTCCTGGGTCCCCAATGGGCCCTGAGCCAGCCCAAGAGTGAAATCCAGTGAGTCCGGCCCCTGTACTGGGCGTCACAAGGTGTCCATGGATGCCCAGAATGACAAGCGGTTTGTGAGCGACTCTTCTGACAGTCAGGATCACAGAGAAGGGTCTTGCTGTGGAGTATGCAGCCTCTGGCCATCTGCCTTGTGGGTTCCCATCAAATTCCCCCAGGAGCTCCAAATCCTCTCCCAGTGCGGAGCGGAGAGCATGGCCACCCCAGACTCCCCCAGCCCCAGGTCATAATTGGCCATACCCAACTCTACCAAGGAGCTCAGAAAGCAATGAGCCTTTCACTTACCAGGCTTGACCTCTTTTCACGGCATCGGGAAAATGAAAAGAATTCCCCTTTACTGTTACTGCCTCCATCACCGTCATCGTCATGGAATAAAGGAGGATTCAGGGTCATGAGCAAGAATTGGCGTGTAATTGGCCAGCAGTTTCAGAGCCAGGGGTATTAATGACAGCAATGACGATGGTAACGGTGATGATGGTGACAGCCCACTTACCTAGCCCTCGCCACATGCCAGGCACTGTTCTAAGCCCTGCGTGTCGTTATCACCAGCACAGGTAAAATCCATGGAGGTAGACTCTGTGTTTACTGTGTCTAGCCCTTCACAGAAGTTGCGTTGTTTCATTTTAAGCTGTTACATATTTGGTCCCATTTTATGGAAGAGGGATCCAGGGCTCACAGATGAGAAGAGGCTCGCTCCAGGGCACAGAGATCGTGAGGGCGGGTCATTGCACACACACCGCCCCACGAGTCCGCACGGGACCAGGACGACTCAGATTCTGAGCAGAGTTTCGGGGCGGAGGGGGTATGGGGAGGCACTGCAGACAGATGGCTGAGCTGGGGAGCAAGGTGGCTACAGGGCTGAGGCGGCCGAGCCAACCCAGGTCTGCATGTCCGGTGTGTACCGAGGGGCGTGTGTCTGCATGTGGCTGTGGGCACGCACGGGGGAAGTGGGAAGCCAGCGCCGAGCACACGGGTCAAGAACTCACCTCCCACCTCCCGATTCAGGCAGCCGAGAGAGCCAGCTGCTGTCACAGGGGGCGGCTCAGTGCCCGCATCCGTCAGCCAGCCGTCATCGCTGCCCACCCCCGGGTCACGAATCAGCAGTTCCACTTACCTCCTGCCAGCAAGTGCTCTCAGGCCAGCTCTGTCGCTGGCCGCTGAGCCTTTAGAAAATGTAACCCTGTCAGCCCTCACTCTGAGGGAAGAGGGTTTACGCTTCAGTGCGTGCACATGGGAGCACGCGTGCAGCCACGTGCTCACGCCAGCACAGGATGCCTGAACGTGCAGACCCTCGGACGTGCTCCCACAGGGGTGCACAGTGCAGACCCAGGCATGCTCACAGCCATGGGCACAGGGCATAGTGGCCGCTCTGCAAATGTGGTCACATGCCCGCACCCTCCAAGTGTACTGGAGGCAAGCTCTCACGTGTGCACTCACATGTGTACACGCAACATGCACATACCTTCCATAGGTTTGTTTGCTTACACGCATGTGCGCATGTGTCCACTGATGCACTTCCATTTCCCCGGGTAAGCGTGCACTCACGCACATTCGTAACACACCCCTGCAGTTACCCAGCGTGTATAGGTCTCCCCTCAGGTGTGCTTCTGCCCGTGATCCCCTAGCCCCATGCACACATTCATGCTGCCGTTTGCACAGTTGTCGGCTTGCAT